ATTTGTTTTTTACCACAAATTTTAAGCAATGAGTGCATGTTATTGTTTATATGAGAAATGTTGAGTGCATGTTATTGTTTATAAATTGAAGCTGAATACAGTTGACTTAACAAGAAAAAACATGAAAGAAAAACAAAAGAAAATATTCAAGCCAATGATACTACTTTATTCTTCCAGAAATAACTGCATTTTAGCAAATATTTTCTAAACATAATCCTATCTAAGCCTAATTTTATATTTCCTAGAATAAAGGTCTGTTGATTTCAAAGGTGGTTAAAATATCCAGTTTTCATCTTATCAAATATCAAAATAAAAAACAATGGTATTCATTTTATATAAAAGTATCACAATAGAATCATCATTCAAGTATATATGTTTATTTAAATAGCACAAAAGAAAGATTATTCTTGTCCTAAAATGAATCTTGCTATCAATGTTACAATAATTTTTATAACATTTTTAGGGAGCATTTTAAAAGACTATGAAATAGCCAAAAAATGATTTTATTCCTATATTAAATTTACTATTAAATATATGATAAACATCGTGGATAACTGATCAAATGGAATGCTGTTTATCTGGATGTCTTAAAGTTCTGCTAATTCGTGATAAATAAAATGCCGATAAACTGGAATTTTCTTTCTCAGAAAATTGAATATTTAAATATTACTTTCCTCAGTTTTAAAAGTGTACATGTAGCCGAAACCGATTTGGCTCAGCGGATAGAGCGTCAGCCTGCGGACTGAAAGGTCCCGGGTTCGATTCTGGTCAAGGGCATGTACCAGGGTTGCAGGCACATCCCCAGTGGGAGATGTGCAGGAGGCAGCTGATCGATGTTTCTCTCTCATCGATGTTTCTAACTATCTCTCTCCCTCTCTGTAAAAAATCAATAAAATATATTTTTAAAAAAGTGTACATGTATACTCTATTTTTCTTATTCTTAAAGTAATCATTCCAATACAGGAACAGATATTTTGAGCCCCATTACTTGGACAAGGAAACCCAAGCTCATAAAGCTTAGGTCAAAGCCAATGGGTACAAAATGATTTAGAGCCAAGGTTTTTCTTCTTCTAGCCTAATCCTGTTCCCTACTGAATTAACAGAGGAAACATGCTTTACTTATGCTTTCTTGAAAATAAGATTACTTTTTGTTTGTTTTTAATTTATTTGCTTGTTTATTTCAGGCCTGAGCAAGCACTAGCAAATTGGAGGGATGGCCCAAGATTCTCCTTTCACTCATCTCCTCTGTTAGCCACATATATGCGGAGGGTTGGGGGCAACATAAACTTTGAAAAGAGTAGGATTATAGGACAAACTTAAACCATCTATCTCTTAACTAAGAGGTGTATATTTAACAGGATCAGTAAGCCTAGAAATTCACCATAGTACAGTAACATACTATTTTACAATATTTAAAAGTTCCCAGATATGTGAAAAATATATCACACATATTAATAACTTACCGCTTCCCGGTCTCCAGACCCAATCACCATACTCACTCCAGAGAAGAACTGACAACTAATTGCTAGATACTTTCACCTCCCCACTTAGGGAAGTTCTCCCCTTGAATCCGATGGCCACTGGAGCTCTGTGATAGTTACTGAATGTGAGAAACAGTAATATGTTTCCAATGGTAAGGTGATAAGAAACGAATGTGCCTTCTCTATCCTTTTCACTGTATGGTGTAACTTTGGAAGTAACATATTGAATATGGTGAATGTTACAGGTAAAAGTCACCAAATAGGGCCTTAAGAGGGAAGATGTCTTAGGAACATGCATGTTAAACTCTTAGGTGAGTAAAAAATAACTTTTACTATAGCAAGCATATTTGGGAACTACCCCTAACTGGGTATTGCTTGAGCTAACAAAAAGAAAATGTTTTTAAAAGGTGTTTCCCTTTAATAATGTACATAAATACGCTACTTCCCATGCCTTGCCGAAGTTTTCCTCCCTACTTGGAAACGTGAGTGCTCCTATTATAATTCTCTTTATCACTTTAGGCCCAGATCAAATGTTATCCAGTTCCAGTGTATATCCAATGGCATTATTCAAAGCCGCTTAGAAGGGCAAACTGTTTCATCTCTTTGAGACAAAGTTTTCTTCCTCAACTAATTGGAGCAAAATGGACATATCTTCTGTGTGCTCTTATACACTTTGCTTACATCCACAGAGCTTTGCTGCTCAATGTGTGACCCATAAACCAGCAGCATCTCCATCCCTGGAAACTTTCTAAAAACACAAACTGTCAGGTCCCATTCAGACTCACCGACTCAGAATCTGCAGTTTCACAGGTAACTTGAATGCACATTCAGTTTTGAGCACCTCTGTGTCAAAACACTTATCAGACAGTAGTGTTACAATTGGTTGAATACAGCTGTCTTCCCTTTTGTGAATTCTTGAGAGAGGGAACCGTGTCTCATTCTGCCTGATATACAATGTTTTACATCGCCTTCTTTCAATTTTCCTCCCGGAAGCCCTGTCCTTCACACTTTGCAACTAGAACATTGCTGGTTGAATCAAATTTAACTAATTTACTGAGATAAAAACGACTGAAAATTCCATTTGAATATTTGTCACTTATGCCCAAGCAAAGTCAACGTCAGCACAGATAAAATAAATAGCACTATCAATAAGAGTACAAAAGGGGAAATTATGTACCTCACTAAGCCTAAGTGTTTGTACCCGTAAAATGAAGACAGACAATAGTTACCTTGCAGAGCTGTTGTGAAGAATAGACATTCTGAATGAAAAACACCTTGCAGAGTGATATAGTGCATTCGAACGATTGCTACCATTTTATTTAGATCACTATATACTACTTCTTTGTAAAATAAATACCCAGGAAATAGAATTTCTCCCTAATTATTAGACAGAAGTGGGATTTCAGACTGGGTATAACAGAGAGGTCAGTAAATCATTGTACCTTCATAAAACAAATATTATATTGGGTACATTTGTTAAAAGCTATTTCAGGAAATCAACCAAAAGCAAACAACAAGAAGTAGTCAGTCAAGAAAAACACTGTGCCATTAGTGAAGAGTATCCAGCTGCCTTGCAGGGGGCTGCTCCTATTTTATATTTCCCTTCCCAGTTTTATCAGTGTAACTAGGGCAAGACTGGCCTTGCTCAATAGTGTGCTTGA